TCATTAAAGTACTTCATTACAGCTTTCCAATGATGTATAAATTATGACTGTAAGTTTAATAGTTAGAAAGTTATGTTTTTTTTAAAGATGCGCATTTAGACTCATGTGAGTCTTAAACTAATTAATAGTGAAAGAATTTTTTTTTTTTGTGTAGAAACTAAAATTTTTTTGTATGACCATCGCCAAAACTGTAAATTCCCATAGAGCCCAATGTGAACCTTTCTTTTTATTCAACTTTGTAAACAATGTGTGTTATTGATTGTGATAAAACTTGGTAGAAATATGTCCAGGTGTAATATCTAATAGCGAAAAAAAAAACAACCTTGGTACTCTATCCTAGTTTCTGTATTGGTGAAAACAAAAAAATTGATATTTTTCATAATAAATTTTAAAAAACGTAATTAACTTTAAAAAAATCCGCATTAAGCATTTTTAGTTTGCTCTGTAATGGTCTGACCTAGATCTATGGAAAAAAAATGAGAGTTGAGAGTATCACTGAATTCTTCATCTTTTTGTCATTAAAAATACTTAAAATTAAATATATATATATATATATGAAGTCATAGACATGTAGGGTAGGTTTCGTCAAGTTTACGAATTCTCCCCCCCTCCCCCCTTTTCCAGTTATTATGTTGTATCTTGTTGTTGAAAGTCCCTAGAAAATTTTTAAAATATAGTTATCTATAACATGTTCTTAAGTTTTCACCTTTAAGTCCTTTTGTTTATATACCAGTCCAAGAACATTTGTTAAGTTGTTGTCACCTTTCCCACGCTCTGTCTTCATTTTCGACTTGTGACTGATATTACAAGGTTATTAGGCACAGCAGTTTTATCTGTAGCTGGCTATGCTACGAAAACCAAAATTCCTTTGTTGTAATAATAATTTATAAATAATTGGCAGAGGGAGTGAAGAAGAAGTGATAGATGGTCTCATACTCTTTCCCACTCAACATTTTAGTCACTACAGAGGCCTTAGTTCTTGTAACACAACTCAACACGCTCAGCTCTCTGCATATAGATGACGTCACATTTTTTAAATTTTTTTTTGGAACAGTATTTGGTCAATCAATAATTGTTAGTCAACTAACTCTATTCCTGATCCTGTGTTTTTTAATAACATGTCTCCACTCATCTACAAGCTCAGTTGTAATGGGGGAGGGGGTTCCACGCAATCTTTTAAGAAGATACATAGTAAAAGTCCACTCTTCTAACTAGCTCAGTGCATGTGATGTAACTGGCTTGACACTGAAACCTTTAGCATACCTGGTCAATAGATAATTATATACACTAGTATCACTCCAGTTAGACACAACATTCTTTAGAATACTTGGTTGATCAATAATTGTTACTCTACTATTTCCTCTCCTGTGTGGAGTGTCTCCTTTCTTCTTTTGGAATTTAAGGGGAGAATATAGAAAAAAAACAACAACTTATGTCTCCAATATCAATACCCTCACCATATTTGTGGCTGAATTACTGGCCCAAATTGCGCAGTCCACAGCAGCACTTATAAAACTCAAAGTAATATGGAAGGACAAAGGCATAGCCTTGAACATCAAAATCAGACTGATGCGCTCCCTGGTCATGGCCACATTCTTATATGTTTGCAAGTCTTGGATGCTGACTGCAGAGCTAGATAGGAGGATCCTTGTAATGGAATTGATATGCTACAGAAAGATCCTAGGTGTCACATTTAACTCTTTCACCACTAAGCAGTTGTCAGAAACTATCTACCCCATCCCTAAGAGAAGGGATGTAACTCCGTATCAGTTATTTTAAAAAATTAATTTTATAACTAAATTCACAGAAAAAAAACTAATAAAACCTAACAAAAACCTTCTTTTTATAATAGAAAAAATAGACGTAGGGTTAAACATCATGCTTAAAGTCATAAATAGTTGACTTCCAATCTCCTGTTTGACTAGATCTAACGTATTCAATACTGGATCTAGCATCAATATTTGATTCATTTTCACTATCGGTCTCAAATGGCTCTAAATCAATTACTCTAATCATTATATCCTTATTCTACAGCTGAAACATTAATATCCCCATTAAAATCTTATTCTATTAAAGCCTACACACAAGCTTAAATATGTTCCATTTTGAAGGCTAGCAAAAAAAAACACGTAATTTTCAAAAAATCTTAAAAATCCATTCCAACATGCTGCAGATACAAAATAAATAAACACCTAAAAATAGCGTCAATATCGCTCTTCTAGGTCAGAGTTAGTAAAGGTTTAAATAGTTATTTAAAAACGAAACAACCCAAAATCGGCAATTCCCTGCGACTCTAGTTGTCTACCATTAGCTGCGACTCTAGTTGTCAAATGGTTAAAGACTGCATCACAAAAGGAAGAGATTAGAGACAGGGTTACTACAGCAATTGGACCCCACAATGACCTTCTAACTATTGTAAAAAAAAATGTTTAAAAAACGCAGCAAACTAAAACTCTTTGACCTTATTTTAAGGTCTTCAGGACTTGCAAAGACCTTCCTTTAGGAAACAGTACCAGGAAAAAGAAGAAGAGGCAGTGATGGGAAGACAACATAAAAGAATAGACAAGCCTGCCTCTATCAAGGTCACAAACAGAGAGGAATAGAGAAAGACGTTCGAAAAATCTAGCATGGTGCCCCAATGGTCCAACAAACTAAGGGATAGGTGAAGGTGAAGTCTGGATCTAAATCCCCAAACTAGAAGCTTCTATATCAAATTTATTTTTCAAAGTGCATTAGTACGATCCAGTACATCTAGATTCTGAAAAGAAGTTTAAGTCACTCCCCCTATATAAAAAAGGAGAAAAATCTAATCCAGGGAACTACAGACCAGTATCACTCACCAGCATTACATGTAAAATACTAGAACACATAATATGTAGTCTATGAATACGTCCTGTTTTTAAGCAATTATGTCTACTATATTTTTAAATAATTGCTGAGCACACACAAAAAGGCCAAGTAGAAATATTTGTGATTATAGAAAACTATTTTTTGAATCACTAATAAATAAATAATTGGTAATGTATTTTCAGTTTTTAAAAAAATTGCATGTGTTTAAAAAAAAAAGCTACATATTTAAAATTTTCTTTTTTCCAATATTAACCTAGCGAGAAATAAAAAAAAGTCCCTGAATTGAGCACAGTATAAAGATAGTACTGACTCATTTTCTTACTTTCTGTAGTAAAACTAAAACTAGCTGCCTACATTGTATAAATCTTTATTTTTATTTACAAACTGTTTCGTTTTTCTAAGACAGATTTAATCTCTCCAAAAAGGACTTACCAGAGTAGGTGAAGGTAAATATGTTATTGAATGTTTATTGTCTTATAAAACCATTCCTATTATGTGTGCTTATTTGCTTACAAATTAAGAGTGAACAGTCTTTCATAACCTAGTAGATAGCTAGTGTAAAAAGATGTTTGCTTTTTTTTATTTTATTTGGCAAATAAATCTTTTTTTTTTTTTTTTTTTTTTTTTTTTTTTAATTATTTTATTTTTTAATTTAGGCCATTAATTACTTGACTTTCTTTTTTCTTAAGGTTTTCTCTTGCATTAAATAAAAAATAATATTTCTTCTGCATTGAATTTTTTTCAAAACATTGTCTGAAACATATTAGGCTTTTTAATAAATGGGTTCTTTAAATAATAGCCTTAAAATATTTTTCTTAAATTAGTGTAAATGGTAAGGTTTTGTATATATGCAAGATGAATCCTCTAATATTCATAAACAAAAGTTTCTCTCAGTTTCAGTACAATTTTTTACAATCCGTCTTTGTTAAAAAAAAATTTTTTAATGAATGCAATTTTCCAAACAACTGTGTCTGGAAAATAAAAATAAACCTTTTTCATTACTTGATAAAAAATGAAAATGTAAAAAGCATATCGAGCATTGTTACATGTTCTTGCCTTCATTTGAATTAAAACCTTAAAATTTATATTGTCTTTTTGTTGTTGTAGATTTGCACTATGTTTTGGCATGCTAATAAAATCGTATAGCTCAGTCCTTTTTAACCAAGATAGCATTTTCATTTTAATGTTGTTCACCATTGTCTATCCCAGCATGCCAGCCTACACTAATGCACGTGAGGCTGAGGCCCTTCGAAGAGCCAAAATGGAGCTCCAGAGCCTTCAGACTCAGTCCCGTATGAAAAGGCAAAAAACATCGGAGACTATTAAAGATCTTGAAAATTACTGCAATAATAATCTTAAAAATGACAGACTGATATACCCAGACAAGGTCAACCCATTTAAGCCAAAGAAAATGTGTACAATTTTGTAATAAATTTTTTATAAGTAAATGAAGGAAAGATTTTTGTCTATGACTTCTGCCTCAAGTTAAAGAACTTTGAAGTTAACTTTACAACAAAGACTAGTCACAGCTATGCAGTAAAAAAATGTATTTGTGTTTTCTGAGATCTGCTTTTGTGTTATTTCAAAAAAATATTTTCTAATAATTATGTATATATGGTATGAACAATTATTTTCTAATTTTATTTTCCACATTTTATTTTTGCAACTCACATTATCAGAGTCTAATATTTAACAGAATAAAATTACAAAACAATGTGCAATCATTACTCTTCTTCCTTGTTCATACATTTACAGTGTTTATATTATGTCATTTTTGCTAAGTACTGTAACTAGCAATAATTACTCATCTAGCACACACTAAGCATTTTTGTTAAGATGAAGTTATTTTTTTTAGTCAACTAATACATAATAAAACATTTCTAACTAATATGAAGCAACACTTAACTGTATAAGGCTATTTATTGTTCAAAATGAAGGTGGGTTTTTTTTTGTTCTATTTGCATCAATATAGACTTAACTCTTGAAGTATTTATAAAATTATCTCAATGCAAAAATATATTAATTAGCTAAGTTTTTCAAAAATTAAGAAGTTGTTAATGTTAAATCTAGTTGTGGCTAGTAGCAGTTTATTACTTTTGTAATATTTGTTTTTAACTAGTCTAGTAAGTTAATATTTTGAAACCAATTTAAAATTACAGTAGTACCTTGGTTTGTGACCACAATCTGTTCAAAAATTAAGAAGTTGTGTAATGTTAAATCTAGTTGTGGCTAGTAGCAGTATATTACTTTTGTAATATTTGTTTTTAACTTGACTAGTAAGTTAATATTTTGAAACCAATTTAAAATTACAGTAGTACCTTGGTTTGCGACCACAATCTGTTCTTGGAAGTTAGTCTTACACTAATTTGTGCACAAACTAAATAGAATTTCCCCATAAGAAATAAAAGAAATAGAAATCATCGCTTCCCAGACCTTGTTTTTCCCCTATTAACATTAATAAAATATGTATTACATGATTCCAAATGCTTAACATAAGCATTTAAGCATAAGAACTATCAGTAAAGAGACAATATAAAAAAAAAAGAATAATTTTAACATAAGAACACCAGCATGTTGATAATGATTTGAAGGACTGGTTATAGTCACTACTTTAAGGGGGAAACCCCCTTCCATAATACCAATTGGGATCTGACTTTCTGGAGTGACTTCCCATTTCTTTTGTTTTGTGGATGTAAGAAAAAAGCTATTGATAGTCTTTTGCTACTGTCTTCTTTGGATGACTGTTCCTTTAATCGATTCCTTATTATTTAAATATCATCAAGATTGTTAGCGTAAGACATCTTGTATTCCACTGCGAGGTTGAAGTCCATTTTCATGCTTTGACATTACTTCTTTTTTCACTTAAATCTTAGCTTTTTATTTCCAGTACAGCTCTTTAACCTTTTTCAGTATGATTATACTATAAAAAAAATTGTAATGAAAGTTACAAAAACGATGAAGCATAATAAATATAAGCAACTGATTGATAGGACATCTGATCAGCTATTGAGGCAAGGTCAGCAGATTCTTGTGCTAACACAGGTGACATAGGATACTTGGCGTTTGCAACCAAATTTTTGTCATAAACAAGTGCAAAATGTTTACATTTTTGTTCGGAAACAACTTCGTATATAAGCAAAAGCATTTGTAAACCAAGGTTCTACTGTATTTTATATTATAAGGAGAAATCTTGTAACTTGTTAAAAAAAAAAAAAAAACTTATTAAATATATATATATTTATATATTTTTATTTTAAAGTTTTTTTTTAATCATTGATTGCCCTTAAAATATTTTAAATTATATTGTCAGAAATATATACATATATTTTTAAACAACATTTTTACCTCCTTTAAAAAGACATAAAATAAATACTATTATAAATGTTTGTTTTAAAATATTGGTAATAATAATTTGGAATTGAGCATTCAGGCTTAAGTTATTCATTAATAAATATTTCATCTGCTGAAAGTAAAGATTGCTGTTGACATATTATCAGAACCATCAAATTATTTTGTATAATTTAAAAACTTTTGAGTTTATTTGTATTTTAAGGCTATATACCTTTAAAACAAATTTCAAATGCAGTTTTATTTTTTTTTAATTTTATCATTGATAGAGTGAGAGGGCGTTGAAATAATTTTGTTTTGGTCTCATTACAAATATTTTATAGCAGTTCTGTTGTTTGTATCCTGACTGATATGTGTATTATAATATTACATTTAAAATGTAAATGCCTTCATAGCTCATATATTGATGTGTACAAGAAAACAATTATAGTTAACATTCCTTGTTAATTTGAGGCATGTTTGAAATTGTAATCTAGATATTGCTTGCAGCTTACAATGTTTTTAGGATTCATCACTTGCATGCTACTTGTGTTATGTTTCCTCCCAAATGAAATCTAGTTCAGAAATAAAAGGAAATACATTTTAGGAAGGTACCGGTATTAACATATTTTTTTTGCAAAAGTGATAGAAATGGCTGTTCATTCTTAAATTTGTTGTTCTATGCTGCATGTTGTGATCAATTTTCTCATTTCTTTTACCTTCACTCAGCTCATGTTTTCCTTTTTTGTTTTTTTCCTTCATAATTTCACTGGCACTGCTTGAGTTGTTATATGTTCAAATGTAGTTTTGTTTAAATCTTTAAAAAAAAATAATGGTATGTTTTCTTCCAAGAAGCGCTGTCATTAGAAAGGGGAATGAATAGGAATGCTTTTTGCACACTCTGAAATAGACTAAATGCTTGTGTTCAGCATTTGAATGTCTCCCTTTTCTTATATTTATACCATAAAGAAGGTGAATGAAATGTTAGTTATTATAGCTTTCATATTGCTTTTATTTGTTCCTATTATTACCGTACTATTCTAATTGGGTTATATTTGGATTGTTCTCATGAGTACTGTTCAAATCATAGGACAGTAACAAGGATGTTCTCTTGTACGTATACAGACAATAAAATTCATTGGAAAAATACAACAGATAGTAACATCCTGCTCACTGTGTTCCAGCTTTTGTCTTTTTGTTGTATTTAATATTGTAGTATTTTTGTTAAATTTTTAAAACCTTGTATCTGGGTAAGTAAATATTTATAATGTTCAGTGTTGTTTTTTTAATTTATTATTTTTGTTATGTTAAAATTTTAAATTCTGTTTTTGGACATAAAAATGAGCAAATATAAGCTTACTCAAAAATAAAATTTGAATTGTTACTTGTAGGCTCTAAATTGAATCAATAGGAATATCATTAAAACAACCTAAAATATAAGGGAGTGAAGAGAGTGACATGCCATTACAAAAAAACAAACCTGATAGTGTTGGAAGTGCATAGTCTATATTGATTGTTAAAACTACTGTGGAGCAAATAGCATAAGAATTGATGTTGCCATGGCAATAGCATTTATCTTTATGTGCTTGCACCAGTGTTATTGATTGTGTAGTTCTGGATTCATCCTCAACGTAATTGCTAACACTTTTATTCCCCTCTAAAACTAGTTACTTTGTCACTTGTATTTTATTTGCCTTCTCTAAGTCAGCCAGTAATGTTACATAGCTAAATAGTCTCCATAGTAGAAATTTAACATGGATTCGAAACAAAGGTATTTCTAAATTATCCAATCAATTCAATTATTATTTTAACTGATTTTTTTTTTTTTTTTCATTTCAGCTTAACTGATAAAGATAACCTCAAAGGTACTAAAAAAAATTTATCTAAAAAAAAATGTGACAACTTGTAATTTTGTGCATTGTAGAGATGAAAATAGATGCATTGGTAAATCTTAAACATGTTTTTTTCTCTTGTTTCAATAAATGTTGGTTTTTACATCTTTTAGCCCCAAAATGAATAAATTCCAAGAAGGTCTTCAGCAACAAAGAAGACTGATTGAGCAGCTTCGGTGTGAAGCCCAAATAACACGTTTTCGAGTTTCTCAGTGCATTGATGACTTGCAGAAGTATTGTGATTCCCACATAGAGGAGGATTTTCTCATCAGTGGCTTCAGTAAACCAAGTGAAAATCCATTCAAGGAAAAAGGCAGCTGTGCAATATTATAAACTGTTCATAACATTCGTAGATTTTAATGTGGCCTCAGTTTAAATGTGAAGAAAATCTAAAAAAATATTGACATTGGTAATGTCCTTTTGAATTAAGAAGATAAAGGCAAATTTTTTAAATTTTTTTTTTTACAATTTTATATTAAAATACTTTTGATAATTATTTGATTTACCATTTTAACAAGACATTCTTTTCTCCGTTTTTTTCTTTCAACAACCATTTTGCCAATTAAGCTCTACAATAACTTTTTTTAAAAGAATAAATGTTTAAAAAAAAATGTATATTCTTATTTATTTATTGTATTTACTTAGTCTGCATTTCGATGTTGAACTGAATAGCAGAATAGTTGTTTCCCCCCCCCCCCCCCCCCATATACCCAATAAAGCAAAATGATGTGAGTGAAAAGTATCATTGTATTTATAACCTTATCACTATTATCTTATTTTTATGTTGATAGTTGATAAAATACTTCTATTTAGCAGTTTAAAAAAAAAAATTTATTTTAAAGTGTACCATACCAAAAGTTTCTGTTTGAAGAAAGTGTCACAACACTGAACTCTCCCAACTCTAAACCATTAAAAATTTTATAAATGTTTAATAAACAAAATAGGCGATTGTAACAGATAAAAAGAAAAGTCTAATTTGTTCCTGCACAGGTATTTTTTTCTATAATTAATTGCGTAAATTTTCAAAAGTATGCAACAAAAAAGTAAATTTCATATATTACTTTTCTAACTATTTGCCTTTTGTGCAAATAATGGAAAATTTGTGATACATGGATAATGAATAAAAAATGGCACATTTTTAAAATTCCTTTATTAACATTTTTGGTTGCAGATCCTGGAGGTACAATTATTTTTTTTTTTTAAAGCTTTTAGTATACTGGCATGTTATATCATTTTATTGAGGGGGGGGGGGAAGGGTCAACATTAATTTATAAGTTACTGTACTTGGTGGCAAAATGTTTACATAAAAATACTAACCTGACTGGCTGTCAAAAATTTTAGTACCACTATATTTGAATTTAAACATGCAACAATTTAATTTTTTTAAAAATACCACTTCACTTCTTCTACTATGCTGTTAACAAAAATTCAAAGCATTTCAAATTTAAAAAAAAAAAATAATAACCAGAAAAATAGTTGATACATTACTGAAAGAAAGTAATATGGGAAAAAAAAGAATATATAGATATATACATAGTGCCATAAAATTTCATAATTTATTGTTAGTGAAGTATAAACTTTTCCCTTGACCCAGCCTAACTATAAATGAAAACAAAAAAAATACAAGGTATGCTTTAAAGTACCGGTACTGAAATAAAATAAAATTTATTCAACAATGAGTCCATGAACAATAGAATCTAATTTTTCAGTAAAAGTGATGAAGGAAAACTGTTTTTTAACTCTCTCTCTTCCTGCTTCACCGAATGATTTAGCCAAAAATTTATTTTCAACAAATTTGTACATAGCTGAGGCGACATCATCTGGATCATTCTTGCACAAAAACCCTGTCACATCATGTTCAACTGTCTCAAGTGGACCGCCACTTTTCATGGCAATAACAGGACATTTCATGTACATTGCTTCAATGGGAACTATACCAAAATGTTCATGTTCTGGTGTATATATAAGACACAAGCTGTTAGTCAGGAGGGAAAGTTTTTCAGAATCACTAAAAGAGCGCAGGAAGGTAATTCTTTCTTCCAGTCCAAGTTTTTTTGCTAGGGAAACTAGCTCATTGAAATGCTCCACATTTTCAACAACTCTGGAATCATAACCACCAGCCATTACCAAATGTACTTCAAGGGAAGGATTCTTTTTTAGAAGTGTGTCTGGAGATGTAGTAATGATAGAATTAATTTTTAGCTAAAATGTGATAGTTTATAATCAACTTTGAGAACAAACAAAGATAAAAAAAAAAAAAGTTTAAATTGCACAAAAAAATTAATACTTTTGTTTTTTAAATGTATATGTTCTGTTTACTGGAACCAGAACTCTGATATGCTAACTTGCTTATGAAAATCTAATTAAGTTACTACTTGTTAATGAAATTTGAAACACCTAATGACTTCCAAGTGTTGTATAAATTAATGAAATATTAGTTAGCAATATGTCTGAGTCTCAATCACAACTATTGCTGTCTGAAGTTACTCTTACCATACCTGTTCTACCCTTCCCACTCAGTGTTATAGAATTGGAAGGCTTACAGTTTATTCATTTGTGTAACAGTGACTTATTTGAAAAACAGTAATTACCAAATGCATTGATAGCCAATGTCAGGTTCTTTTTCCTCTCATATCTATTGATGGACAGTAAAAAATCTTTGGCCTTTAATGGAAGTAGATCTGCTGAGATAGGGTCAACAGGTTTGTCGAAGTTAAAGAAATCTGGTATAGGATACAAAACTTCGGGTTTTACTTGCACAAGACTTGTGAATGTTTTATGAAAGATGTCAGCTGTGGAAAAAAATGTGTATAGGACTAAATCCTTGCTAGATATAATTAAATAAAAATCATTAATCTAAGGCAACTTTCTTTTTGAGAGATGATGAGATGCTGGGGTAGGGTCATTATTATTTTTTCTGTGACATTCGTAAGGCAAGTAAAAAAAAAAAAAGTAAAGTTCCCCTTTCAGACCTTGTGATCAATAGGGCAGAGGACGTTTCTATGGCCCACAGTTAACGAGAGTGTCAAGTGGCCAGCACAATGACCATCTGACTTTACTTTTCCCCAACTAATGTCAGGTACCCATTAGAGCTGGGTGATCTCAGAGGCTCCCTAAAGATCCTGAAGGTAAAAATTAGTCTTCACCTAGATTTGAAAGCCAAGCATCTTACCACTCAGCCACCATGCCTCATTTGGTAAAGCAACTTTGTTGCATTTTTGGCATTCATAAGAAGAATTACTAAAACTTGAGATATTTTCCCCCCATTTTATATTGTGAGGAACATTACATTATTATTATAGCAATAATAGGGATAGATAGAAATGGAAACTTTTTTTTTAGGAAGATGATTCGTTACAATTAAGAATTTTTTTGCCTTTGACTTTTATAAAAATGAAACTTAAATTCAAGATTTTAATGCTCAAATAGCTGTAAAGAACAGTAGTTATCAACTTTTTATCCATCACCTCATTTCAAAGTGATCCACAGCCAAAAAACATTTTGAGGGTGCAAGGAAACATGAAAAGCTGTGTGGTCTCTAATTATTATTTTTGAGATATAAGTTCTGCATTAAAAGTTGTAATAGTAAAAATTTTAAAAAAAGGTGTGTTGAGACAAGATATAGTCTAGTAGTCATTTCAAGAATGATGCCAAGCTATTGGTTAGATCTAGATCTGCTTTCAGTATTGTGTAGGGGAGTGACATGTAATATGGCAAATCCTATAAACAAATACTCTAGTAATCCAATTTTTTTCTAACATTTGAAGAATTTGATGGCTAATTTATTAAATACTGGTATAAATGTTTCTAAGCATCTAAATGAAAAATAGTATAATGTTTACTATTACAACTTTTTACAAAGAATTTAAATATGCATGTCAATATCTTAACTTTGAAAAATTATAGCTGCCAATTAAATACCTCATCATTTTTTTTTATGTAAAAAGGTCAATACATTTAATAAAGCCAAAATTAAGGTAGTCTATGGACTGATATTTAGAAATGGATCTATATTTGTTTATAATGCAATTATTTCTACCTGTAAATTTACTATTAACTAGAATAAGGTCTGCCAATCCTGTTGTCTTTTCTTCTATGAAATCAATAGGTGCTCTATATATTGTTTTTAATATGCTTTTTCTTTGAGTCAAAAGCATATCAGGAAAATGGCAATAAAAGATAACTTTGGCTGATGCAAGTTTTAACACAGGAATACAAGCTGAAATTTGATCTACAAATATAACATCAGATTTTGGACCACTTATAACAAAGTAAATAGCCGCAACAATCATACGTAAATATGCGCACAGAGCATGAAATTTTCCGAAAATAGTTCTAGGTAACCAATCACCAACTACTGAAACTTTCAGTGTTCCATCTTTAGTTTCCTGGAAACAGTGTGACAGGTCGTGATGAGACGTTATAAACTGAACACTGTGTCCACGAGATTTTAAAGCGAGTGCAGCATCAATGACCGCTCTTTCAGCTCCTCCAATACCGAGGTCTGGGTGAATAAATGTTATTATACCCATCATCAACGACTAGAATTATATCTTGATACTGTTTTTTAGTTTTATCTTATCTACCGCAATTGATTAACATGAAGGCTTAAAGCCCTTTTAAGAAAAAAGATATTTGTTTCATTAGGTTAGCTCAGTAGGACTAGATCTAGACTATAGATCTAGATCTATGACGATTGGTTTTGTTAAGTACAGGTCATCAAATAAAAACGAAACCGGAACAACATTTATAAAAACAAAGGAAAAAGTACTTCCGCTGGAGCTTTATCTTATCTAAGCTACCAGCAAGGCTACAACAATAATATTAAATCATTATTATCAATAATGAAGAGTTGGAGACCTGTGACCCCAAATATTGT